GAGAGAGAGAGAGAGAGTATATGAACTTTTACGACATGTCAAAAGGTCCCTTGAACCCTTTTATTTATACGCCTACATGGCGTAATTGTCATTTGCGGAGCTCTTTTAGCTAAGACAATGATTTCCGTTACGATCTGTTTAACATCCCTACATTCATAAAATCTACGACTCTCCTCGTTGTCGACACATTCTTAACGAGTGTAGAGGAAGTAAGCGATATTTGTTTGCAATTTTTTTTCTTAACTAGATTTTTCACTTTTTTGAATAAAAAGAGATATAAATATACAAAAATTCTAAATTATACGTACATTTTTATTTTTTTTAAATATAAAAATAATTATTTCTAGTATGTATAACAATTATATAAATCGTATTAAAGATTTATTTTAATCTTGTAAAATTACATTGCTTCTAATATATGTAACATTTACATAAACCGTAATTTCAACTTATAATATGTAAAATGTTTCGTGCGATAGCGCAGATATATCACAGATAAATAGTGAAATAGATTCCGCACAGAACGTAGAAATCATCGATTTCCGATGAAGCTTCGTGCGCCAAAGTTGCACCACGAAACTGCATCGGAGCAACCGCGCGCGCGTGGGTGACCTCAGATTACGTCACATCCGTCCCTTGCCGCATTAGCAGACTGCCCACAGCCTTGTCACGCTGTTGAGATAATGGATCCATTCGCATGGATCACGATCCAGGATTGGACGTGCTCGGGACACTGGAAATAAATGCGTGCATAATGATACTGACCATATTATTTCATCGTCGATACGGAGAAGGGAACGGCTCGTTCCTGGTTCACCTGTTCTCACTTCGAATTGATCGTCTGTCATTGCAAAAAACCTGTTTCGCAGACTAATGATAGGGATGATTTATTTGCGGTTTGTTATGTCCTCACTTTGCACGATCTTTGTCGGTCACAGGCACATCGTTATCGCTCTTACTAATCGGTCCAACAGCTCAAATTTGCATATAGAAAGAAAGAAAAAAAACACACATTATAAATATACGAAAATACATTTCAGAATTTTTTTTACATAAAAATGTTCACTTTTTTAATTTTTGTTTAGCAAGTAAGTAATTATTTATTTCTTGTGTATAATTATACTTATATATGCTGTAATAATTATTGACGTCGCTCTCAAATTTTCAAAGAAAAATATTTTTCAGAGACTTATATAATAATATAAATTTAAGTAGATTTACGATGCGAGAGAGATACATATATTTTTTACTTTTTGATAAAAGCAAAGTAATCAAATTGCAATTACGCACATGAATACTTTCATAAAAACATATGGTTTCTTGTGTGGAAAACGTAATATTAAATACAAATAATGAAAGAAATAATCTACTTTGAAATACTTTTTCTATTAAAAGAAATTACTTATGAGATTTTATAAAGATTCGGATTGGCATGTGCTTTGTAGAAGAATTATATACAAGCACATTATGAGGCAAGAAAAGTCTTCTTGATAAAGGTCTTTCGCAACGGAGCATTGCTCCAGTTTTTGGCACAATGCCACGACGTATGCCGAAGGAGATAATGGAAATGACAGCAATTTTCAGTAATCAGTGCGCTAGACACTTTGCGCAAATGTTCCTTCTTCTGGCAGTTAGCATCTAGTTACATATAGTTTCTCGAGAAAATTACAGCCTGCGGCGTGATTTTACGATTTTACGTATCAGGCGTTAAAATCTATTCTTAAAACTGCCTCGTACTACTTTATATAGACTTGCTTTCTTTGATAATTATTTCTTATATTACTTGAAAAATGAAAGATTACATACGAATACGATTAATTTCTAATGAATCGTTTCTATATACGATTAATAATTGCCTAGTGACCCGATTTCCTTATTCTGACAATGATCTTATTGCCTTGACCAGTAATTCCACATCTTCTATTATTATCGGGGTGTAGAAATCTTCCAGTTAGGGAAGAACCACGACGCGTGCAACGTTGCTGTGATAATACCTCTAACAACTTAGACATTGATCTAATGATGTCACGCCAAGTAACGTGGTATTTTATTTCGTGAGCCAACAGTTCACTTGAAACATTAAATTATAATGATACATTGCAATATAATTCTTTTTTTTCTATACAGTTATAACAAAGGTTTAATTGTTGAATTTTTGATCAAGTTGCGCAAGAATAATATTTCAAAAGAATATTAATTTAATTTATTATCCAATTTAAGGGAGTTATTGTTTTTATTAAATTTTTAGAAACATGTACTCTCTCTCTACAAAACTTTAAAATTAAATCTCTTTGACGTACTGCAATATAAAAACTTGTAGTATAAATATTGGGTAAATCAATGCATTACAAATGCTCTGGGAACATCGTCCATTTCGTTTCAAATGTTGATTTATTTTTCATTTTATTTAATAATAAATTGTCTACAATTTGTCCTAAGTTAGTACGTCTTGGAGTTCTCGTGGGGGGTTCGCGAGAAAGCATAGATCAATCAATCAAACTCGGTATGGAGGTGAACAACGAGCATTCGCGAAAGTGACAACGAAACGGTTTAACGCACCGTGTACAAGTTTGACGGCGGATATAGTTAAGAATAAGCGGAAGTGAAGACAGACGATACAGAAGAACGTTACATGTGCGTATAGAAGCGATTCGATGTAGGGCGTGAAAAGGCTAACGATTACAAGTGTGGAAGTATATCCTGCCGACTCAACGAAAACAGAAATAGCAGTAGATCGGGAGAATGAAAAGATGTTTTCGCATTATTATTATTTTCTTGAATTCAATCCGGCGCAACAAATATCATTACAATAACAATTGCCAGTGTGTACGATGATACGAGCACTCGAAATGCCATGCTTGGAACTGCGACGATCCTCGCCAAGTTTTCGAGAGCGCATGTACCTGTTATTTAAATGTATCTGTTATTTAAAGCGAAACGATATTTGAAAATATTTCATTACGAGAAAATATTGTATTATAAAATTTCGAGACAAGAGTCGAAACGACAGATAGTCGCAGATCCAAACATGACGTAGTACCCGAGAGCCATTCAATCCATTTCCAACGCATCTTTTGCACCGACCGAAGGACATTGTTTCAACCGAGTAATATGGTATCGTGTAATGTAACACTGGCATATTTCATGACAAATTATTATCTCTCACGCATTATTCGCGCACTATACCTCGAAGCAGTGTCGTCGCTGCGTTCCTTAGCAATTTAGATGACTGCAATTTAAATCAGTGAAACTGCGAATATTTATCATTTCAAATGCATTAGAATATTTCCAAGGCTTCATAATCGGAATATGTTTATGATTTAATCTTGTGAGACGTCATAAATTACAAAATAAAACTAAATTATATAATTATTTAATATTATAAGATACCGTCGTTTGTTTTGCTCTCGTGTAATCGTAACTTTCGCGATCGTATTATACGGAATATTTATCATTATCTACAATTTGTACAAACCCATTAATGAGCAAAATAAGCATATGTCTCGTCACATTAAAGCTGCACGGCTCGTGAGGCGAAAAATCACCGATTCTCTCGCGAACGTTCTGCTTCGAGGAAATTTCGTACAATAAAGAATTTTGCAATAAAATTTTACTCGCGATTTTGAACAATATGTCGCGCTACGACATGGCTTTCAGGTACATAATGAACAAAATGCTTAAATTAATTAATCCACGAACGGCGATCTCGTGCGAGTTTTGCGCGCGCTTGCGATAACGCGGCAGAGATACAACGACGAGTATCGCGAACGCAAAAGTGGGCGCGATGACATTCGCGACAAACGTAAAATCCACGCGGGTCACGAAGAAGGAGGAACTCAGGACGAACGAAACCGTCGTGACGGGTGATGACAAAGTTTTACACGAACGGATTCACGATTCAACCATATTATCCATAAACACGCTGTTAAGCGAAACCGCCGCTTCTCTCTCATTTTTCTTTCTCTCACTCTCTCATTCTCTCGCAACCACGACACTCTCATAGTTTCTCTGGGTCTTCGTCATTGGACATGTTTCGGACATATTCGTCTTATCGTAATACGAGCCATTCCTCCGCGTTACACGATAGGCTCAAGTTAATGAAGAATCGTCCAAGATTCTCTTCCTCGTTTTTTCTCGCGGTTCCTTATCTTTCTTTTTATTTCTCTCTCTCTCTCTCTCTCTCTCTCTCTCTCTCTCTCTCTCTCTCTTTTTCTCACTCACTTTTTCTCATTCTCTCACGCTTTCATTCCCGTACATTTATCGCAATCGTCCACACTGCGTGACCTTTTGAGATCGTTGTATCTAACTATGATATATCTACACGTTACTTATACATCTATATGTCAGTTGGTTGGATCACCTTTTCTCGCGTCCACGATTCTTCTTTCTGTCGCATTCATCCATTCGCAGAGAGGGGAGACGGTATCAGAACTCAATCTAAACTTTTCAAACTTTTAAGGTACGAAGCACTCTATGTTATCGTCACACTATTGAAAGCCATTTTCTTAACATCGGATGATTACTCGAAAAAATTCATATATTCATATATTCCTTTACATCACCAACGTTAAAAACATCTTGCACATCCGGCACATTTATGCTATTAACACGTTTTAACGATTTTCTGTGGTCGGAGCGTGATAATGAAAATGGGCACCGTTCTTCCAGCTTGAGTTCTGGGACACCTCCTCCCCCGTCCTCCTACATGTCTCTCGTCGTAATTTTCGCGCGGGTATAATAATTAATTAATGAATACTCACCGCGTTCGTCGCTCTCGTTGATTAATACGCTACACGCTACATCGTTTACGATTTACAATATCAATTAATTATCAAATTATTAATTCAACCATTAGAATTACTTTAGAATATTGGTACTCTTTCGCGTCACCTCCGTTATTTCTTAACTTTTATCGTATTCTTTATTTATTTATTTTTTATTCTTTTGTTATCTCTGCGCGTGTGTGACCGTGTGTAACATTACGCTTTATTTTATTTCAACAGCCGCATTTGCTCGCGTTTTATTACTCGTTCGCGCTCTGTTCGCTCATTCTCGTCACTCTGAACATTCATCTTCTCTCGCACGCATACAATCACGCACATACGCGCATTTTAACGAAATTGTACAGAGCGTCTCGCCTTCACGGCGTTCACGCCACTCTTTTTTTTTTTCTTTTTTTTACTCGTCGTCTCTACTCTTCTTCCTCCTTTCGGCATTACGTTTCGTCGAAGTATAGTTGAATCGTGAGTAGGGCCCTTGCTAATATTTATAATAAATATGTATAATACGTATGTATAAATAAGTGTTTGTACTATAAAGAAAGTAAAACACCGGTGATCGCGGGCCGGGCCGATCGCGATTCCATGCAGGGGAGTCTTCACGGTTGCGTATGTAGAGAAAATTAGAAAAAAAGGGTAAGAGGAACGAGCGCGCTGCCGGTCCTCTCTCGTCGGAGACGTCCTCCTGGCTGAGGGACACGTTCTCGCGTTAGGTCGCGCAGCTCGACACTGATTAGCCCGTAGATTCGCCGGAAAACCCCCGCGATCGGCGATCGCCGGCCTCCGATCTCACGAGATTCGAGATGATCTGATGCGTTTGGTGAGAATTAGGTGGGTCTCGAAGAACGCCTCTCTCGTATTTGTGTCGTTTCTTGTATGTCTGTGATGAAATGCTGTCACGTGTGTGTGTGTGTGTGTGTGTGTGTGTATGTGTACGCTTATGTGTGTTTTTATTAACTCCTTTTTCTCGCTAATACACACGAACTCCGGCGTGATCGGCGTATGTATGCGCGCGCGTACGCCCCCTCCGGCGACGATGACCGCGTTTCTCTATCGGTCGCTCTCTTGTTCGCTTAATTACTTTAGTTTTACTTATCTATGCAACATCAACGCTTCATACGAAATGAATCGAACGCACGGTCGGACCTCCCTTTCATTGGCAGTTCGTTGAAAGAAAGATTCATGTTCGCGTATTTCGATTTTCTTTAGTTTTTATTTTCAAGTCGTTTTGGTCGACGTCGTTCGCGTCGCTAATCTAATTCGAGAGGAGCGGCCGGTAGAGCCCGGAGTGCCGATAAGCGGTAACCAGCGTGTCGCCGAATAGCACGCGGTGAGCGTACGCGCGTAATCATCACGCTGTACCGGCCGAGCGCGCGTAGATTCAAAGAACGTTACTCTTATTCTCGTTTTATGTTGCTTAAGAAAAATTATTGTGCCGATAATATGTTGGGTCGCTAGCGAAACCCTAAACAGGCAGTGCAGTACGAGTGAGTCCTTAAGCAATCTCGAGGCAAGCTTCGGCCTAATATCACGTTTCGAGTCCATTGCTCATCGATATAATTACTTTTGTGTCTGTATGTGTCTGCGTGTGTGTGTGTGTGTGTATGTGTTTGTATGTATGTATAGTAATTCTTCTTCGATTATCTTACTTTTTTTGTTTTTCTTTCGTTTTTAATTATTACTTACAGTGTACGATTAAATTTAACCTTACATTTCGTTTAAAAGGTATACGGAGCATGTACAGTGGTACAGTTTCTTTGGAGTATCATGCCGACGTAACTATCTCTCCTTCTACTCTTTCCCGTTCTTTCGTCTCTCCATCCCTCGTCCCGGTCGCGGGACAATATCGTTATAATTAGCATCCTTTTGAGCCAGCCGGGAGTATTTTTTCCTCTGCGCACTTCCTAGCTCTAGGACAGTTCCACTGAGTTAAAAAAAAATGTCCTCCCCTCTATTCGTCCTCTCGTGAACTCTTCGGAGTATGTTCCTCTACATTATTATATATAGTAACGTGTTAAAAATCACGGTCCTCTAAACCGGACGTAGGCGCGGTTGGTATACGCGGGATATGACCAATAATAATCGGATTCGAACGTTTATTTCGTTTACGCACTTCGTTTCCCATTATCGCCCCAGCGCGATCGATGTCGCTGAGCATCGCTGGGTGACGATATCGAGATTGCTTCCCCTCGAAGGATAACTCGACGGTAACTCGACGTACTTCCTAAATCGGTAAACGGGCGAGAGACTCCGAAGGATTATCGTCTTAAACGTACGGTTCTACTACGTCGCTCCGGCGTCCCAATGTGGTCGTGCGAAACTTATGTATCCTGAGCTGATGCTTAATAACAGCCTTCTTTCGTAGATGGATGTCCAGCTACTAGAATTGACTTAAACGCCTCTAATGCGAAATCACATGTGATGATGATGTCCTCGTTGTGCTGCGGTGGTTGGTCTTCCAGTGATGATAACGTCGTGTGTCGAAATGCGATCTTTTATGGTAGATAAAAGCCAGTACCAAAATCTAGTCGCGGATAATACTTAGTTTGTCCCGATTTTGTCCAACTCTCTTCGCGTGTTACTCTCTCGTTTCTCACATTTTTCTCTCATTTCTCGTTCACTATCATATTGTATTTTTTTTTTCCTCTATATGGTGATCGTTCACTGTTTCGCCACCATCTATTGTGTGCAATTCAGTTTGAATTATCTTCAACATCATTTGTCAAACTTATGAATCTCTTTGACTCGCAGTTTCGATCGTTAAATTTGCGAATGTAGCTGCATTAACGAGTCCAAACGGTTGATCGATCATCGAAATAATTCCATAATTCAACACGCGCTCTCCAAGTGCGCGCTCTGCCTTCGTCTCGCCTGTCTCTGCCGGAATTGATGGAACTCCGCCTTCATCGCCTGTACTCTAGCCTCGATGTTCTCCCTGCTGTACCTCGGCGCCTGATGATGTACCGTGTGCACCTGATGGATGTGGGGAACGTGGATGGTGTGGATCTGATGTATCGGCGGTCTCTCCTCGCGCGTGGGCGTCGAGGCCGACGTGGGCGTCGGCGTACACGAGACCGGATCGAACTCGTAGTGCCCGTCGACGCTGCCGGCGTCAACGGCGTTCTGTATGTGCGTGTGCCCCACCTTGGTCGGATCCTGAAGCTCGAGCCAGCGGCCGACCAGAGGCGGCGGGGGCGGCCTGTAGGGCGGCGGACGCCATTCGGCGACCGTGCTTCCGCTCCTCGAACTCTGATTTTGCTGCGAGGTGTTCTTGCTGCCGAAACCCGAGCTGCTCGACCTGCTCTCGGGCGAGGTTTCTAGGTCGGGCGAGGCTGCGAGTTCGGGCGCCGATCGTGCGTGCCTGGCGTGTCTCGGCGGCAGCCTCGCCCTGGGTCGTCCGGCCGGCTGCGGCGGCGAGGACGTCGCCAACGGCTGCACCGGCACGAAGCGCCTGGATTCGGCGTGGATCGCCTTGAGCGACGGTAACTCCTGGCTGTATCGCTGGTGTATGCTGCGTAGCTGTAGATAGCCGGGCGGTGTCGGGAAGGAACGTTCGCCGGAGGATGGTTGCTTGACGGAGCTGAGATCGCTGAAATACAGAGGGGTCCAGGGTATGTGGATTCCGCTCGGTGAACTGGCCAGAAACCTGGGTGACGCGATCGTGCAGATATTCGTGGGCGGTATCCTTGCCAAGGAATTCGTGGCGCCGTGATGATGGCAGCCGGATGGTAGAGGGCCTATGGACACGCCGCTGCCGTCGGATCGCAGGCTGAGCTGGCTGGTGCCGACCAGCGGGCGCCGCCACGAAGACTTGAGTCGCTGCTTTGGCAGGAAACCGCCATCGTCGCTGCTGGAGACATCCAGGATGCTGTTGTTGGCCGAGCTGAGCACCGAGTCCGCCACGACGAAACGGCCGTCAGCCGCCCGGGAGATCTTGCCCAGCGGACGACAGCGGCACGAGTCCGGAGTGTCCGGGCTCAGGATCTCCTTCAGGAGGCTTAAACCTGGTACTCGGCTTTTTCTAGGTCTATATAGGTAGGACAGAAGGAGCGTTAGATCGATCATGGCGGTGGCGGCTGACAGGCACGGTCCGATCGAGGTCGTCGGAGGAAGTTTTGGCGAAAGATCCGTGCAAGATCCATCGCTTGTTTTACGGAGTACCGAAAATTCGCAATAAATATATGATTGCATCGTTACTCGAAAAGTGTATTAAACGACATAAAAGCAGAGACACGCATTGCTGATTGCTGCATGTGATGTTACGAACCAGTGTATATTGGAACAGTGTGTTTAACAATCAAAAATTTTTATTTTTTTTATTTTTTAATAAACATTTAGGAATCTCTGTCGATATCGGGAATTTTCGGTACTCATTCATCGTTAGCGCGTAGTTTTATTTATAAAATTCCGATTCTATAGAAATATTCTTCAATTAAATTGTTCGCCGAGATAAACGCTCTTGAAATTATCTGTCTCTTCCTCCGACGTGGTCCATCGGCCGCTCGGTACAGCAAATACGTGCAATACGAACGGCAAAAAACACGCAATGTTAACGAACGCAAAGTAGTTAAACAAAGTACTAGAACAAATGTAACGTAAATGCCAATGTTTAAGTTAAATATGGCAAGATAATTATCAATAATCAATTACTTGTACGTATAATAATAACGAGTAACGGATGCAGGCAGGGATGGCATGCGCATGCACATTCCGGTGCACGAGTGGTCGGGCGTGACGTGGGTTGTGGATAGGTAGGCCTCGGCAGTGAGTGGATCTTTTTTTTCTCTCGATAAATTTTCAAAAATCTGATTTCTCTTTTTTATATATTTTTTTTCTATGCTCGCAAAATTTTGTTCCGTTCTCATAGATCTCTTTTTGCACGATATTTTTGTACTTCACATTCGATTTTGATCAGTGAATAGCAATTGTGGATTTAGGTGCTCCGAAACTCGTCACCTTTTCTCCTCCTTCGGGTCCGGCAGCAAGGAAAGATGGGGGAGAGAGAATGTTGTAACACAACGATTACATTCACAAAAAACAATATATCGTGGCGGTAATAATAAGAAATATAACGCTAAATAACCGAACGTTACTTCTAGGCGGTGGTGTTAGGGAGCAAATAGATCAATTAGTGTCGTTTGGTTGTCGGTGAAGACGCGGTTTCACCGTCGTGGTACATCGATTTGGCTCGAGTCGATTAATCGGATTTAACACGGAAAATAGAACGGTACACCATTTCCCCGTTTCAAAGGAATCTTGTAACATTATAATAACAAAGAGACATAGAGAAACATGTAAAAAGATGAGATATAAATATACGCGTGGACGATCGAGTGTTCCATAATAAGGATATTAATGAATTTCGTCGGATATCGCATACAGATTGTTATCCGCGTTTTAGAATTATTCATGAGAATTATTAAAAATTATTCTGATGAAAGTAGCAGCGCGCCGCAAAGCTTGTTTGAATAAGAATTAGTTGATTGAATTTTTATGCGTTGTCCGATTTGTATTCTCCGGGAAAACACTCGATCTCTCTTGCGAGGAAAATAGGAAATAAAAAAATATGACACAACGGGAGATAAATAATAAAAGTGCGACGAGTCGAGTTGAAATAAAGTGGCAATAACAGATCGGATTTAGGAAACGGGAGGGCCGGTGTTAACGTATCGATTGTATCGGCTTCAATTGGCTGAATAGGGTAATGCAACGAAGCATCGTGAACGATTAACAGATAGATACGACAATGGTAGATGTATATATGTAGATGCAAGTTTTCGCGTGGCCGCAACGAGCGCGGCTTACCTATCTTCGCCTTGCTTATTGCCGAGTGTTCGCGTGTAAGCGTGAGAGCGTGTCTGTCTGTTTATTGGTCGTCTAGAATCGACAGACTGGAAACAATCAAATAACACAAGAAGCTTGAATTAGAGCTCCGACTGGCCGTGCGCACCGCAATAATCGTCGCAGCTCGGCGCGCCGTATATGCGCCGCTGAAACTTTGTGCCACACGAATCAAAGTTTTATTCGATTCCTCTGACAAACGTTCCTTCGTAACGACTGATTCGTGCCAACCGGCTGTTATCGGAAATGCGAATATTGCTTTTTCATGTATGGCGGAGCTGAAGTGATACTTGTGTCGCATGCGATTTATGTATAGAGAAAGAAAAGTACAGAATGAGAATCGTAAATAACATGATTGTAAGATTGATTAATATCGTGATGTGAGAAGACAAAATATGATTAGTAATGTAGCAAAATACAACAAGCCCGGTATTGGTAAATTGTACTTGAACACTTTTCAATAATTTATATATTTTGTTTTTAATTAGAGAGACGATGTGAATGTAGCGTGACGTTATGCTCATTAAACATGCACCAAACCGGGCCTAAGTGATTTAGAAATTACAGCGAGCTACTGGATGATTCTTTGTTATGATAGATATTGCAAATAATACATGATTATTCATTACTTACAAATTATGCTAGGTGAATAAATTTATGTACGCGCAAAAAGTTGTGAAAACCAGTAACTTTCTGTCAATTGATTAGTAAATTTCAGTAGATGCTATAAAAAATGCGTTAGAAAGAGAAATTTTCGCGATGTGCGAAAGTAATAGAAAAATTTTGTAAGGAAACTCGATGGTTATCGCAAAATATAAAAATAATTTTCACAACAATAGTTTTAAAAGATACAAGAAATATAGATCGAGAGATGAGTGAATAATGCTCGTCAAACGCACAACACATCGAGTCGCCGTAAATTCATCTGATTAATTGAATAGTGAAGTGATAGATGAAAGCATCATTAATGTAAACTTTAGTCAAGCGATGTAATAGTGATTTGTTTGCTGAATGAATAAGTAAAAGAATGTATAAACAGGATAATATATCATTTTGTTATGTTTATAATAATCTAGAAAATATTAACAATTAAAATGTGAATAAGTGAAGATATTTAGTATATAAAAAGATTGAAAAATTTCTGACATATTTCAAAAAGTACTGCAATTGTGATTAGCACTGTAAAAGCAAAAAAAGTATACAGATACGATAGTTTAGAGTTGATAGAAATATAAGAGTCAAGAGTTAATATCTATACATGAAAAATCACAAAATGTGAATACAGATATGATAAGAATACAATAGCAATAAAAAATATTGAGCGTATGATATATGTATAAGAAAATTGAGAAATTTTGAAGAAATATAATAAATTTTCTTAATTATTCAAGGCGTGATTTATCTGAAAATCAGAATTTATACAGTTATAATAAATATAAATGTCTTTTATTCAAAAGATATTGAAAATATTAAAATAATTGTTACAATCTTTGAAGTAAAAGTTGTTTTCGAAAATGAGACTAAATAGATATTGCGTCTCTTGAATATATATTGTACTCGGCACAAGTTAATAATACTATTTAATGGTGAAAAAAGGAAATTTTAAACGCAAAAGAAATTAGCGCAAAGATAATGAGTTAAACGTTTCGTACTTTTGTGAAAAACTCGACGCAAAGTGAAGGAAGAGAAATTGGCGTACAGAAATAAAAAAATGATTAACGAAGAAGCGAAAATGTGAAGAATGAGCGAAGAATATAGAGATTGAGTCAAAGCAGGTAATACGAATTTATGCTTATTTAATAATGCGCGCGCTCTTGACAGTAAATTCTGAACGAAATGAAGAATCAATGTACACGCAATAATAGCACAATGAAATGAATAAGGTACAGTAGTAGAATGAAAGAGAGAGGCAAATACCGCGTTGGGGTTATTTCTAATAACTCGTTCCGATCCTCGAAAAAGGAAGCGACTCGGAGTTCTCTCGATATTATTACTGACAGCGAGCGTACGCAGAACGAGTGGTACGTGAAGAAAGGTCGCAAGTCTTGCAGATCGGCAGAGAGAAAAATGAAAAAGAGTCTACCGCCTTGCCTCGATTCCCTTATATCTATGTACTCCCTAAGGCCGCCGAACGAAGGTATTAGGGTACTGACTGGATGTTACTAGTGTGAACTCCTAGCTGTTTTGCCTGTATTGCAGATCTCATCTACAGTCATGACAATCATCCTAAGTAGATAGTAGTAGTAGGTGGTAGTGGTAGATTAGTAGGTCCTAGCAGGTAACATTGCAGAGCTGTAGTCTCGCACAGTAGTAGGTAGTAGTAGCAGTAGTAGAGTAGCGGTAGTACTAGTAGTAACGGGCATGTCCCACCGGCAATTGGCGTTCGCTCGCTCGATCGACCGAGATGGATCGACGACGACTGACGGAGATTTGAAATCGATCTGACAGTTCGTTCGATCGATCGACGGACCGCTCGATACAACGTGTTTATACACACACAAACACATATACGTATACCGTCGGCGGGAGCTTATTTTCGTGGTTCTCGGGAGCAACCGTGGTCTCGGGTACGTAGTAGTGGTGGTAGTAGCGGTAGTAGCGGTAGTAGCAGTAATAGGTAGTGGTAGTAGTAGTAGCAGTAGTAGTAATAGTAGTAGTAGTGATAGTACTTGGTTTTTTTCTGTGTGGCTAGCGGAGGTTAGGCTTACTGTTCCGCCTCTCTATGATAAACACGCTCTCGTAATCTCGATTATCGAGGTGGAGTGCGTGATGGTCACGATCACGGTTCGGGGGGGCCTGCTCGTGGACCGGCTCCGAGGTGGCAGTGGCGGGGGTGGTTACTTGCGTAGGAAGTGGTGATTGATGAAGAGGTTGTGGTGGTGGTGGTGGTAGTTGCGGATTCAACGGGCTGCAACGGGTCAGCGTCGAGACTGACTCGCCGCACGCGTTTAGATTTGTCGACCTACAGAAAACACAGAGAGAGAGGAGGACAAGAGACGCCCACGATTTCATATCGTCTTGTCTGTCTTTTCTTTTCTTTTTCTTTCTTTTTTTTTTCCTTTTCTTTCGTTCTCTTTGTCACAACGACTATCTCGACTGGTTCGGTTTGCTCGCCGGCGTCCTCGCGGCTATCGTTTTGCGCGAGAATTATTTAGGGTCGGAGACACAGAGTGAAAGAAGCAAAGAGATAGAGAGAAAGTCTCTGCTTTGACAATGCGACGATCGATTGACTCTACTGTCCGTTGTTCCTTTTCTTTCGAATTTCTTTCTATTTTTTGCGCTTTGATCGACAAAGTAGCACCCTGTGCACCCTCTTCCTCTCCAGAGTCTCTCGACCCTTTGACGCTATTCTCTGGCTCGCGTCGGCTCTCTTCTGATCCTTGCTCTGATCGCGACCTCGGTGTTTACCACCGAGATTATTTCAGGTCTGTATTCGTAGTCGGGTTGAGCAGTAAGCTGCGCCGATAAGCACGCGACTGCAATTCATCGCGTCGAAAAAATATACGAAATTGATATTGTGGAAAGAAAATTACGTCATGTTGACCCTTAATTTGCTTAAAAATTTTCCTGGTCAAACGAGGACACCATTGTCCCGGCGAAATTAGTGTAATGTCTCGTGTGCGACGTTATCGGAGCATTAGGGAATTGCAATCGTTGCTTTTACTCGGCGCACAGCCCGTGCACAGCAACGTGACCACGAATGCGGGCCTACGGAAAAAAAAAAAAAAAGAAAAACTCCTGGCAGTGGCTGAACCGTCCAGCCCGTTCTGGATATATACGTGTAGGTATAAACGTGCAATATCGATCTCTCTCGGGATAATTCTCGAGAAACACGCCCGCGCGTTCAATGAAAAATTGCGGCTCGAGCTTATCATGAGGGTGATGACGGAAGATGACGGCGATATGACATTTGGAGGGATCGTTTGTTGAAAATGAGAGAAAACTATTACACGCAAGGCAGTATTAAGTAATATTGTTACAGCGATATTTGAATATATCCCCATATAGACACACTGAAATATATTTGTAGTAGAACACAAGTACGTGTAAACTAATTTACTGATTGTAATAAAAAAAAAAATGGAAAAAGGATAACAATTAATACTGGTACATATTAATTACAAAAGCGCATGCTTCGGTCGCAAATTAAACGGTACAGATAAGTAGAAATAGTTTAGAACAGCGAAATTAGCTTTGGCTCATAATTACAGGTGGGCTTATGTTCGGAACTTCTTCGCAATCGGCTTTGAACCTACGGGAAAATCTGAATTAGATATCGTGCGAACGGTCGATATTACATTCGATTGGTGAATTATGGAGCCTGAAGTTTTATGGTGGTATGAGCATGATACACGTTGCCTGTGCGTGTAAGAATGATTAATAGGAGTAAGGACAAAGAAGAATAGATATTGGTTAGCACCCTCACGATAAGCGCTATGACAAATACACGGAAAATATGATTTCGGTACGACGGCACCGTACCGATAAGCGCGCTCGAGAGAAATAAATAAGGGCAATTGAACGGTGCGGCTGATAAAACGATGATAATGAACATGACTGGGTCGAATGAATCGTTTGAAAAATCGTCGCGAGAGTTTCAGGACCGATCGATGGCACACGAAACGCGTGTACGCACGGCAAAGAAGTGTTCAAGAGAATGCCAAAGTCGCGGAAAATCCAGGCGAGATTACGATCCAGAATAGGCATCACTGCAGTCGTATTGTGGACTTTTGGATGCCGCGATGAAAATCATAATGATCACAAATGAGCTTTATCCGCTACTACACGTGCAGTCCGCTTGGCGTGAAATCGCAAATAAGAACGCCCCACGCATTCATTTTTCGTACATACGGCGTGTCGAAAGGTATGTACGTACGTACGTACAGCGATTGCCCGTATCTGCGTGTATCGTTCTCGTTTTCTCATTTGCGGTAGCTTCGTTTCTCGGTGTGTATACGTTGCTCCAGATTGCGATCGCGGCAGTCCGAATCGAGCTGTCTGTTTTTTGTGCGGAATCAAATAATGCGGTTTTGCGATTGCGATAGTCTCTCGCTGATTTTTGTGTTTTTTTTTTAAATTGAATAAAATAATTAATATAAATTAATTACTTACTCTTATAAATTTTTTATGTTTTTGAAAAATGGCAGTTCAGCAGTTAAATCGCTATTCGATCTGGCTTGTTTAATTGTGGAAAACATCGCCGTCTCTTACACGCGACATTTTCTCTTGTTCCTTTTCGTTTATTTCCGCATCGTTCGCAAAACGAGTTTCCATGCAGGAAACGAATTGGTTGTCGCGCGTGGAACTATTCGTTGCAAACGTATCGCCGCATGCCATTTGATTCGAGCTGCAACGAGATTCGATTCGATTCGGAGGCCGGATCACGCAGAGTGAACGCGATTCTTTCGTTCATGCCTAACGGAAACGTGCACGCATGCACGCACGCGCATCGTGGTGTTGCGCGTGGGAGTGTGCGTAAATTACTTATCGATTATCGAAAGATCGTTTCTCCAACCTCGTCCAAAATACTTCTGCTGCTGCGGTTTAGTCTGCCTGTTTTAATTGCTACGAGATACATCTAGAAGCTCATAGTGTTATGTATGGCGCAAGTAGATCAAAAGAGGTTCTGTCATTTTCCTTAAATCTTCCGTTTTCAGGAGATAGTTCTTTGTCCTTTGTCAAAGTGGATCGAGTTGACGGCAGGAGAGAGGATGGATTTTCCTCCATTCCGTCTCTCGTGCGGTCGTAATATGTCTTTGTAAACATGTCGCTGCTACGACAACGGCACGTTATTGCCGATTAGTAGCCGTAAAATCATTCTATAAGTTTGTGCGATTAGTTATTGATTTCTTGAAACGAATGAATATTTTGTAAAACAGAAGTCACCGTTAAAAATTACAGCTGCAAAGGAGTCGTTGGCATAAGAGTGATATACCTTGTATACATATGTGAAATTTTGATATATTCAGGACGATGTAAATATATCTCGATGTATATATGCGTAATATATCAGGTAAATGTTCGAATATCTGTTAACTAGAAGATTAGTGAGAGGTTTCGTAAATGCTTGCGGTGCTTCGGTCGCCTATTGCTCGTAAGAGGGGGTGGAGTGGACTTAGTCGCTAACTCTGGCTAAGCCTAAGTGATATATGTTTCTTTGAAGTCGCATCTGCACTTCGCGGCGCGTTTTGACGGTATGCAATTATCGATCTTTGACGCGACCTGCTTTATCTTAATCGAACGCTCAGAGGCCTCTTCATCGGCGGGAGCAGTCGATGCTTTTGTCAGGGCACTTTGACGTCGTTTTTCGCCGATCATGCATCACCGTTATCTGCAGAAACTTATTGTCTGCGAAATTATTAATTGCGCGTCGAATGTACGTAAAAAAATTTTATCACGATAAAATTGGTTTGCCTCGAATGAAAAATATTCTCCGAATTTTTTATAAATTGAAATATTTAAACAATTTTCCAAGCACCGATTTAAATTTTATACGAATTGTGCGAGGATGAAAATCGGGCGAATAGATTCGTAGTGCAGTTGCGACTTTCACCGACTACTTGTCGTCTGATCGGAGCCTTTAGGGGTGCTCCGAAGTATCGTGAGTCAAGACTCTGTGGGACCTGAGGGGCTAATGGTGTTTCGGAAGGTAGACACTCACTTTTTCAAAGGCACTGTTCCCTGGGGCCCCTGCCCTGCGCCGTTCCTGGCGTCGGTGACCCGGCAGGCCACCATGTTATACGCTGAAAGCAGTTCTACAATGTTACATAATTATGTTAATCATCAATATGTTCAGGTTCACAGGTGCATGCCCGGCGCCTGCGTTGTCAGATCGTAGCCGCCTCTTTGGCCCGTCCTGGGCGTTGAATGCGAACAATGATCACAGTTAATGCGACCTTTTGGTGAAAAGTTAAAGAGCAAGTGGGCCCAGGCAACACCACCTATAGACAAGGCCTCTCCACTGAAATCATGACGTCATCACTAGTAGGCCATTTATCTGTCAGTTTTCTAACGTAACCTTGTGTTTCATGCGACATTAACGTGAATTTTTTAATAGTGTAGTGTGTTTTGATAAGAGTTTTTTGTTGTGGATAGTTGATGAATGCCTGTATTATTGAGGTAAGTCATAATTTTATTAATTTACCGAATTATGAACGTATTTAGAAAACTGACCATAATAGGTTAGATTTGGATCATACTTGTTTAACAATATAAATAATTAACATATTTTGTAATTGCCGTTACAATTTGGCACACAACATTTGAAAGGCATTGTTATAAAAGAAATACATAATTTCAATAATAAAGAAATTATGTATTTCTTTTATAGCAATGCCTTTCAAATGTTGTGTGCCATAATTCGGTAAATTAATAAAATTATGACTTACCTCAATAATACAGGCATTCATCAACTATCCACAACAAAAAACTCTTAATCAAAACACACTACACTATTAAAAATTCACGTTAATGTCGCATGAAACACAAGGTTACGTTAGAAAACTGACAGATAAATGGCCTACTAGTGATGACGTCATGATTTCAGTGGAGAGGCCTTGTCTATAGGTGGTGTTGGCCCAGGACGGACCAACTGACAAATTCGCAAAGTGCGATTTATGTAAATATTTTTGTTTCCTTCGAAAATCCAAACAATTGAGTAAGCTCAAGTGACGGTTTCGCCGTTTTCTCCGTTGGCTTCTTCAAATTGTCAACACAGAGAGGCGACACAACCAGGAGCACAGGTCCAGGCGAAATGCGGGCAACGGTGCGATACGTTGATAACGCCACGGGGCGTTCATACCTTTCTCCTGTTTTCGTCTCTTCCGTTTATTGCATATCTTCACCGCGCATATGCTGAGGATGATGGCGACGAGGAAGAAGAGGATACCGCCTACAACGCCCGCGGTGATCGCTTTGTGCTTAACGCGAGCCGGCACGGGGAACTTGACCTGGTCGCTCGCACCGTAATTCGTAGCCGAGTTGGCGAACACTTGGAAATAGTAGGTCCTACCACCGACCAGGTTCTTCACTGTGGGTGTTCACGTTAAACGAGAAATCGCATGAAAGTCACTCGAGAGAGAGAGAATCGGTTCAGTGAAGTAATACTTGTTTATGAATGTTTTAAAATTACTCGGTGCTCGGTGCTGAACGCCTGCATCTCCGATGCTAAGAAACTTTATGCACAATAACTGCTGCGATTAACGAGGGAGAAAGAAATAGAGAGAGAGAAAAGGGCGGTGATATCTCACCTAAATAACTGGTCTCCTCGGGTCGTATTTGGCCCTTGTTGAGCGTTTTCCAAGGTCCGTCCGTCTTGTACTTGATAGTGTAGTATTGGATAAGATGGCTACGATCCGTAGGAGGTTGCCAGGTTATCAGGAAACCGTTGCTGATTTCCGTCACCGTGAGATTCCGGGGAGGCCCTGGTTTTGGTCCTGGCGATTCAAATCGCGACAATCAGTTCGGTCGGAAAGAATTGGATCGTGAAAATGTATTTGTTTGATTTTTATTTTATCTAAAACGCGACCTTACAGTTTTACTGTACCTCGTTCAAGGTTTTTAGTACTTATATTTATATTCGTAATTGACGAGTATCTTCTAGCAATAAAATAGATAAAAATTTTAAATGTGGCGTGCGCCGCATGTGTAAAATAAAAAAGCGACGTAGGAAAAACTCTTTGGCATCAGTAAATAAATGTTGCTGTCGTAACTCCGAAATAATTCCAGTGACGCACCGAGTTGCAACGCCAGCGGAAAGCTTTTTTGATGGAAACGTTAACGCCGTTCCGACCGCAGCGACATTTTCACATCTATCAAATCCATCGGTATTCGCGCCATCGAGTTGTACGTCTGACTTTTTTCATCATCGCGTATCTAGGGCGACTGCGATATGTCGCTTACAAAAAAAAAAAAAAAAAAAAAAAAGAAAAAAAAGAAAAAATAGCTTGCATCGGTTGATATGTGCAAATACGTTAATATTAACATGGTGGAATATAACTGCGTTCATTTCGAAGCAAATATACTTTCAAAAAAATCGTTATTTTTTATATACTTCCGTATTACGATAACAGACGAATCCAGAGACATCCAAAATATTTTAAATTTTTCGTGTAAATATATGATAAGAAATAAATTAAACAAACCAGTATTATATATTGATTGTTCGCTGAATAGGAGCTCAAGGTATAAGCTTATAAGTTAAGTCAGAATGAATGACTATTGGTGCACAACTTCATAATTGGATTAGCCAAGCATGAGGTCAGCTTCTTTCATCACTTCTTATACATATAATGTTACGACTTAATTGTTTCCGGTGTACGCGCGTTAACCTTATTAACGTCCGAGTGGCCCCATTTCTTCTCAAGAGCACGATTTTATGATGTGAGTTAAAACGCATATTTCTGAAAAAAAGCGAAAATTGCGAGCAAGGAAACGGCCCGAGTGCGCAATAATTCGCATGGATAGGTGTGAACGTTTTATTTAGCTCCTGTTGGTTTTTTTATTTTCCGTCATATTCTGATTCGCCCAATCTGCGCTACGGGTTTATTTCGACAAAGCAAATATCCCGTTTCGTTCTCCCTGTATCAATTTAATGGTTCCGGAAAATATCTCGGTGGAATTTACGAAATTGACGGAAATTGCCTCGTTGTTGTTGCAAATCGCGATCGGCAAGCGTAAAAACTGTTTCACGATTGTTTGCTTTGTTGATTACACAAACGGACCAACCAGTAAATTTCCTTGGTTACGATCAGATGGAATAGCACGCGCATCCACAGTGGTTTTACGTCTGTTTAAAACACTGGATGAGTTTATCAAAGTCCGCGTATTTGCCGTGTATCGGCGATTTGGGCGAAATAATTCTTAGCGTCATTCAAATCAACCAATACACCGTGAAGCCGGCAAGATTGGACCGAGCTTTTGAGATCAAAGGAAAACGCTCGAAATCCTCTTGGGACATGTATGTAGGTAGTATGCGAATCGATTTGCAAACGCACTGACGTATATGGCGAAAGAAAAACAAAGGCATGATAAACTTTTTTTTCGCTCAAAAACTCGTCGTTATTGTGTAGATAGGTATGAGGAATAAACGCTCTGTTGCGTTTAGGTGGTTAAGCCGATTTTTTCGTGATAGTTTTCCACTACACAGCCACACAAGCATATGAGAAAATTGGACATAGCCGGCGAATAGGCGGCTTAATTTGGCCGCGAGATTGCAAAATTAGCGGCTTGTATTGTTTCGAATATTTGCGCTTTACAAAATGCATGACGTTATTCTTTTTTTTTTTTTCCTTTTTCTCCAAACTGTCTATTACAAGTATTTTCTCTCGTCTCTATTGAGAGATAAAGAGGATTCTATATTTTATTATTGTTTTTGCAAATAGCTAAACGAATCCTATTTTTCAGGATTAATATTTATAAAAATTTTGTTAAAGATACAATGCATTATATATGAGTTGCATTAATGTTAAAATTCTGTTACAAAAATATGTCGCAACGAGTTTTCCATTATTATTCTAACAAAATTGCGTATATAAATTTTTAATTTTTTTTTTCCATGATTTATGTCACTATCTCATCCAGCAATTCAGATATGATTGAAACTCGACGCGCGGGCGAGGTAACTAAAACTTTCTTGGGTTTATTCAGCTCCAAAGCGGAGTAGATTGTTTGGAACCGTCTGCTACGTGCAAAATGTATGATGTTATTTCCTGCTCTCCCTGCTGGAATGCATCTCTCCCCTCCCGGCTAAGAGGATTTCGTTTTTATTTTCCTCTGTATTTTTCTCGCATCGCTGTATATGCCGAACTGTACGCGGGCGTGAGAGTGCACGAACACGCGTTACACGCTCTCTCATTGTTCTGTCGGACCTCTTGACACTTATTTTTATGTCCACCACAGCACATAATAGCGATTAATCCTCTTGCGCAAAATGAAAGAGGTTTTAGAAAAAAAAAATAGATTTTTGAGCGCTTGCTCTCTTTGCAACACAGAGAATTCCTAACGAAATGCGCGACAAGAAAGGCGTTGATCATGCGTCTTGATGCGCACATTGAGTGTAAATAACGCATTGAACGTGGGCGTTGTGAAAGCGACGATGAAGATTTTGTGGAGAATGACATTAGTTGTTTCGTAATATTATTGTCAATGCAAGATGTTAAGAAACAATTTTTACTTTATTGGTATATTTAATCAAGGAAACTATAAATATAAATATAAATATATATACATAGAGTGTAAAAGTATAAAGGTATACAAAATAAACTTAAAAATTTATATACCTTTCGGTCGTACAATTGGCGGAAACATTGGATTTCCTGTGGAATCAGTCGGCAACACAAGAGTCTTATAATCGAGAATGTCTGAAATAAAAAAAAAGCCAGGAAAATGAAATAAAAAATAAAAATTAAATTATATATGATAACAATCGACTTGTTGTCCAATTATAAAAAAAAGTTACACATTCTAATGTATAATATAAAAAGACATAAAATAAACTATCTATTTTTAGACTCCACTTCTTATGGCTGGTATGTAGGTGAACTCATTGTTGAATACTAATCATACCAGGTCGATTTCATCAATGTCAATTAGCTTTAACCTATATACCTCTTTCTCGCAGTGTAGACTACAGGGTGATCTAAAATTTCACACTTTTACTCCGCGCGACTCTGACTTTATTCTATAAATTAAAAATTTAACAAATATGTTTTCTCCTTAACAAATATCAAAGCAATGAGACAATTTTGACAAATTAAAATACATTTTTGTTGAAAAAACTTTGCTGTAAAAATTCTGTCACAAATGATGACTATAAAAACAATATTTACTGAAGTAATTATTAAAGAAAATTGACTCGAGAGAATTCCTCTATATGAAACATAAGCGCGAATCGTGATATGCCTTGTGTGGAGAGTAGCAAAGGTATAGAAAAAGAAAATTTAGTTAACCGTGGTTAACCAGCGTTGTTGAAGTCGACCCTTTGTTGCAGGCTAACGAGCGAAACCGATGATGATGCGGGCTTGTGCGTGGATGGAAGCATAAGAAGCGAAAGAGTGCCACAGCGAGAAAAAGCTACAACGAAGAGAAGAGTGAGATAGGCGAGAGAGAAACGCTTGAAAGGTAACCAGATAGAATCCCTAGACGCCGGTATCTGGGATGCTCGAGGTACGGTGTGTACAAATGGAAGGCAATGAACCGGTGGATTCGAGGGAAGGAAATAAAAGCGGAAGCAGAATGAACGGCTCGATGGGTTTTCCGATACGATAAGTCGCCACGGAAGTCTCCGTTCCCTTTCTGTCTCTTTTTCTCGGTTTTCTCCGTTCCTTGCCTCATTCTGTATCCGCATTCTCCTCTCTCTCTCTCTCCCTTCCTTATCTTGCTGTCTCCTTGCTCGCGTTTCTTGTTCCTTCCTCCTATTTTTTTTAAGCTTATGGTTCTAGCCGAGAAGGAAGTCGCACGACTTTTCGATTGTTGGATCGATGTCGCGATGAGAGGATCGCGAGGATGAAACGGGAACGGCATCTCGCGCGTGAATTTCTCTTCGACAGTCATCGAGATGCTATTTTCAGCTTGCGAAGTGAGTAGCGCGTCTCGCGGAACTCCGAGATATTCCGGCAACCGATCGCGTTTTGCTAGCTTGCAGATTTAAAGTAGCGATAAAAATCGCCAATTCTAACACCTCTAGAAAACTGCATCGTACGCTACTACCTTCGAGATTTTACGTGTTTCAATTTATGGAGGCTTAAACAGTTTATAGTTCACATATAACGCGTCAAATTTTTAAGATATTTTCTCTTCGTCATTTTATTGTTCGTTTCATCCTTAAATCATATTTGCGACGTAAACAATTTTAATTTATTGGAATCTTACCTTCTGGAGATGGGGGTTGATCAGACGCGGAGGGAGTCGCCGGCTGAGGCAGGTTAACGCCTTCGGGAATGCAACGAGAGATGGAAATAGTGAGAAGAAAAGTTGTACAGAGAGTAAACATTAATGTGTTAGTTACTAAATAGATCAATAGTGTTTCGACTAGTTAGATTGATTAGATTAGCACTAGCATTAATAAATAGAATCATCAACGTTTTTAATTCTAGATACATAATTAGTATTCAGTCAGGGGAAATTTAATAGCTGGCGTTCACTTTGAGATTCATTGAATTGAGGATGATTGAATTTTGCCCATTTAGCTTCATCGTTCATTTGCTAATTTTTATCGAGATAATAAATTTTAATTGTTATATAGTTACACATAATTTTAGTAATAGAGCAATTTGAATATAGTGCAGTTTCATTACCGAGCGTCCTCACTGTGATGACTTTGCTCAGCATTCCTTCGCCCAGAGCGTTCTTCCCGATTACCTGGAACTCGTAGAGCGTGCTAGGCGTGAGATTGTTGATCGTCACCGTTGTGCTGCCCGATGGAGTCACGGGGATTGTCTTCCATTCCGAAATTCCCGATTCCCTGTACCTATGCCCGAGTAGCGCAAGAAACAAAATTAGAATCGCGTAAAAGATTCCGGGAGAATCCGCCGTTAAAATTCAGATCGGAGATAATTTGCGTATACGAGTTATAAATGTCCTAATTCATAATGCAAATTTGGCGCGAGAGATTCTATCCAAACAATTATCGTCCGCGTTGATAGAAGGAGCCTTAAGTGGAAATACCTATCAGCCTGTCTCATATACCCACCAGATAGTATAATCTTGCTTGTAATCAGGACCGCCGGAATAGCCTGGTAACCAAGTTAGCGATACCGAGAATTGCGTGGCAGTGCCTGACACGTTATAAGGTGCATGGGGTTGCGTGCCCTCGACGATCAGCTGCGTCACGGACGAGATGGTGGCGACTTCGTTGGAGGCGACGCAGTGATAAAACCCAAAGTCCGCGCGTCGAAGGCTCTCTATAGTTAGATTGCCCCCGACAATCTTCGCGCGAGTGCGTTGAATGGGCCCACCATCCTTCTGAGAAAATTTTCGTTTATGTTTTACAACACGCGACGCGGCAGCTAGCCGGAAGTATAAACAAACCAGAAATTTGCTGTCCAAATAATACAAAAGTCCAAGAAACATGCTTAAAAAATTGACTTTTTTTTTAGTTTGTTATTCTATTATTTAACAAAAAACATGTATAAAAATGTTATAAAAACGGTGTTGTATTTGTTGTATTTGTTATATATAAAAAACAATAAGAAAAACAGTTTTGATAATAGTTTTGGTTTGATAAAATAATAATAAAAAAGCTGATTTTGTTTACAATATTCAAAAAAATTATTTGGAAAAATATATATATTAAAAAAAATAGAAAAAATGATGGCATCTCGTCGAGCGTACCCGATGCCATTGTATCGTTGGTTTCTGCGTTCCCTCGGCCTCTTGGGCGTCGCAGTGCATCTCGACCGTCTCGCCCACCTTCTTCGTGTACACCGATTCCGGCTCGAGGATGAAGACAGGCGGGTTCCGCACGAGGACCTCCATCGGACCCGAACTGCCCTGCGTGCCCTGGGCGTTATAAGGCGTGCAGGTATATCTGCCTTGGTGATTCTCATTGACCCGTGTAAAGAGCAGGGAGCCATTGTTCATGATAACGATGTCCTTCGTCTGATAAGGCTCGAGTAGGCGCTTGTCCTTGGTCCAGGTCACGTATTGCAGGGGAGGGTTGGCCTTTATATAACACTGAACCACGCCGGCCAGACGGAACGGCAGGTACTGGACAGTAGGGGTGAACGTGACCTTCGCCGGGTCTAAAACGCGAAAAATCCACGTTGAAAATATTAATCCTTCAGATACTTCAATCGCATTGAGTTCGTACTTTGCAAAGTGTAGTCCTTGATTTTTTTCGATACGAAGATTGTCCTGTCTTGCAATTTTTGAAAAATTAAAAATTCAGATTCTTAAAGAAATCTTACACTCGACGTTCAGGTAGGCGCTAGCGGTTTGAGGATCGCCGATGCCGTTGGTGACTTCGCACAGATATTGACCGGAGTCATCGGCGCTGACGGGGTTGATGACCAGGTCACCGTCCATCCTGATGGACACCCTAGTGTCCAAAGCCGTGACTTCCGAGACGGGGGCGCCTTCGCGAAACCAGCGCACCGTCACGTTACCCGGAAGAGCTCTTGCCTCGCAAGAAAAATTCACCCTCTCGCCTTCCAGTTTCGTTTGATTCGTCGGCGGCATCGTGATAACGGCTGGACCTGCGAATCAATAACATAATATTTTTGTATTAATTTTACCAGAGACTGAAAAGATATCAAAACAGGCGAAACGTCGATTATAGACATCAAATCTAACGCAATCGATATTAATAATATCGTGCTATTGCATTTCGAATCTGCGGTGGCGATTGACCGCTGATATCGGTTGTCGCGCTGTCAAAGATATCCCGGAAGGGACGACGGCATGCGGCGTGTGTAACTTGCTATCATGCAGAAACAGGGAGAGAACCAGAATGCTATATTGTCTCACTATCGATTCTCGATAACATCTCTCTTGTCGATAAAAAGCCATGACGGATAGGCGAACGTGGAGTAGAGATAGCCGACGAATTTGCTTTTCGCTGCACGACTTCTGCGCTTACGAGTCTACGAGAAAGGCGTTCAACAGGGTGCATTATATCTTCATCGATATCCAACGTCGTCCACGCCCATAGCCGTCGTCTCTCGCGTATTCACGCCCGAAGAATTTCAAAACTTGCGGCTTTGCCCGTCGCCTCAGAAGCGAATATCTCGCTGTATTATAGCGGAAGATCGATTCTCGCGCCGCACAAAAGACCGGGCTCATCCTTCGCGTGATTCCGCGGCATTTTCCGCAATCCGATCTATCGTCATTCGTCGGGATTACGGAAGTCTTCATCTCCGCGTTGCAACGGCAGCTCAAATCGCGGCGGAATCGAATGAGCATATGCAAAATCGTCGAGAAATTAACGACACCGGAATTCACCGGATGAAAGATATTGATTAAACACTTGATTGCAAGGTGCGCCTTGATAAGAAATCCGATAAAAATTTATCTTTTTATTTTTACTGCGTAATATAAGATTGCACGCGTATTATGCGCAATAAAAAAAAAAGTATTTCTTTATAATTCAATATTTCGCATTTTCCAATTTCATAAATTTTTTGTTTTGGATAATAAACGCTGTCGCGTGTCTGCAATCTCCACTTTTGCATTTTAATTTTGAATACGTGATATTCAAAATCCATATATCGCGCTCGGATTCGAGATTGCTAGTTGGCAAAGTAAACAAGGTATAGGTGTCGGGCAAACAACGTGTGAATTTATACACGCAAACGAACGTCGCGACACACCGGGTGATGCTATGATGCTGCAAATATATTGACATACGTTTGAGCAATTAAACGTTTGGCAGATTGTTGCGGTGTTTGTTGTCGCTACGTATCGATATTATCAAATTCGGGGTTGCGGAATAGCTTTTTGGTGGGAGCAATACGGATGTTGGACGGAAGTTTCGACCTCGAACAACACGGGCGTCGAGCGGAAGCGAACGCCCCGGCCAAGAAAGGGCTAGGGAGCTCCAAGCCGCAAGAAATATTGCGTTCCGTGCGCAGACGGAAATCCCGCGAAACGAGGGCAACGATATTCTAAGCTCTGCCCGATGTCTCAATATATTGCACCCAGTTGCACCTCCGAAGATGCGCTACAATGCGCACCAGCGGTGCACGCTACAGCCAGCGCGACAGGAATAAATTTGAATCTACGATCTTGATAAACGCACGAAGCGCGGAATGAGAACTTGTTGTTCGCAAAAAAGAATCCATTTTCTCGCGCAATCTTCCACACTCGTATTTTTTACATTACTAATCAAATCTCTCGCATCGCTTTTATTACATTTGTGTGTGCGTGTGTGTGTCGCTTTGTTCATTAAAAAAAATCTTATTTTACGCAAGAATCGTTGTTTTTATTATTTGTTTGTAGAACTTTGTGCACAGTAGTTCACGCGGCTGCATCGATCAACAAAATATATTTTAATTTCCCGCGCGGTGATATATGTCACGAGCGCGAAAGCTTAGAAGGATACTTTACAGGGAGAGTTTGCAAAGTTCCGGGCAAATGAGGCCAATGGAATTCCGAGTTGCCTATAGAATCACGCGACGAGTGTGCGGTTGCCATAAAGTTGCACGCGCGGCGCACATTACGCGCGTTCGTTAACGACGTTGTTTTTACCAACTTGGGACAGCAATTTCCATCGATACATGATCGATATTTAATAAAGACTTTAAATGCTCCGTGCACCTCGTCTCACCATTGCGCTTTATTCTCAGAAATATCCACGAGTTTCGGCAAACAAGGAGCTCGGAAAACACTTTTATAAAGTATTTAGTTACTATCGAGTTACTGCCGCCGCATCACCGAGCGTGTTACATTTATACCCGTGGCTCCGCTGCATTCTCGATGCGAAAAGTGTCACGGTGATAAATTCCAGCGTTTGCCAGCCAGACGAAAATCTTGACAAACCGGGGCAATGAAATTCAGAGAGAAGGAGAGAACAGCGTGTGGACTCTTATGCCAAGCTACACAGCTATGACAGCGCGGCGTCGCGCTGCATCACGTTGCACATTGTAAATACGTGGGTACCACGAGAAGCGCGAAGGATAGTTGAGCAAATGGAGCAGTAGTCGAGACGTAGAATAAATTCTGGAATGATTTATCCTTGTAATGTTTACTTTCCGGCGTTTTTTCATCCTCTTTAAACGTCCTGTTTCATTTAACGTTGAAATGAACCATTACGTTGCGCCGTGTGAAATACATGTCTCACTATTTTCTAGGATGGTGAGCATAAACGCGAGATTTTTTATGCAAATTTTATTTTTGTTTACGCGCAGAAATTTTATATATTTCACACTTTAACTTATCTTTATCGTTGGTGATTTCAGGGCGGATACGCGCCGGAGCAAATTTGAAAATATGAAAATTTATGAAAAATGTTGTACTCTGCGTGGGCACGTAGAGTATTTTCCGAGCGTTCATCTTTCCCGACAATAGCAATAATGATCACTAGGTAACGTTCGCCTAATTTTATTTTTCGCGTGCGAGCGGATTTTACGACCTGGCCGTCATTTTCGAGCGGGCGACATTCGCGCCATTTCTCAATCCATTAAATAACTATCTCGCAACTAAGCCCATAAACGGGCGTGAGAACAAGAGGCGAGACGGTAAGACAATACGATGATGAAGACGGATGTCCCGGCGCGGTGGTTTGCACGATTTACAAATTTACAGTGGTTGGGGGACAGAAACGAGCAATGATACGGAAAAAAGGGAGAAAAAAATGAGAGAGAGAGAGAGAGAGAGAGAGAAGGTGGCGAAAACGAAACGGTACAAGAAGGCGGCGGAAAGTGGCTGTTGGTTCCGTAAAAACAAGACAAATCGCCTTTTAACCCTCATTCCCTCTTCTTCCCCCCCACCGGAACCCCGTTACGGGAATAGCCTTAATTGGTCGGCGGAACGAGCGACGCCCGGGACCACGCTGTGTAACCACTTTGCCTAACGCGAGTTTTATCGCGGCGGGAGGGGGTATCGATATGAGTAAATGTATCGGCTCGTAAAATTTACGGGGGCGAGATGCCGCTATACGTCCTACTGGCTGCCGTCCCCGCGCTTTATGGATGCATCGGCGTGCTGCTGCGCCTTCGATCACGAGGAAACGTTTTCGTTCGTGGGAAAAGGACGCTAAAACTGTTATACGACGCGGACGAGATTGCGATGTCCCTTATCTTTTCCCGAACTCGCTCCGCGAGACGATGACTTAGAATGGCGCACACCTGCTCGTGCGCGATATCGTAATCGCCGCGATATCCATTGAGGAAATAAAAATCATCGACAGAAATCGAAGACTTTTATCACATTTAGATATTCTATCGCGCGGAATTGTAAAAGTGTCCGTTCCTTACGCTTTCGATAATACCAGTACAAATCGAAATTATATCAGATATTTCCTTGGAAAAATTGTATGGCGCGCAAAACTATTGCGAACATTACGGCTAAGGGCTTAATAATCGAGCAGCGAGATTATCGTGCATTCTTTTCGACTAAATTACATCATGCCACACGATGAAAATCCTCTTCATAACAGGCATTAAGAACGCGGCTCGAGGCACTCGTGGAGAAACGAGAAAGACGGCGATGAGTCGAGTTAATTAAACCGGGGATAATAAGACGTATACGCGTATACCTTTAATTATTCCATTACGCTCGCGCGCATTAGCTTATTAAAAGCGAGGACTAGGCACTTGACATTTGTTAAAACGATCGCAATCAAGGTAAAGTCGTGAGAACGCGCTATTTAAAGCTCGCGGGCTGCATCAGTTATTCCGAACAATATTTTAAAATTAAGGACGGCGCAATAAACTTGCAGTGCCGTCGATAATATATATTTTAGATCTCTAGAGTTTCTCTGGGACGATTTCAAGAACTCTTGCGAAATTGCCCGTAAAAGGATCGTTTGTTATTCCGTTTTGTTTCCGTTTGAAACTCGCGTGGAGTGCGCCGAATTTATCGAATGTATCGCAAAGGCGCCGATGCACCAGGCTTACCCTGTCCGTGAGAAATTCGTTTCTGATTGCGCAGCGAGCAAAAGCAGAAAGAGCGAGAATGATGGCTTACTCGCGGATCGATAAGCGGTAAAACCGGCGGAGCTAGTCCGCGCTCGCTTTAAGATATTTTCTGGCATGCGGGTTATTGGAATTGCATTACCGGTGTTCGACCGATCGCTGATTACCAAGGGATATCTGTTTCTGATAACGGCGCGCTCGATAATTACCGCGGCAGTTTGCTGTTTATTAATTATCGGTCTGGCAGGCAGGTGTATTTTGCGTTATTCTCTTCGGGTGCCGATCGCGGATAATTAATCGCGTCGGCATGTCGAGGCAATTTTCGGAAGTGTATTAAAGCGCGCTTACTATCGCGCGACTCATGTTAAATTAGTTTCGGAAAAATGCGCCGGCAAACTAATCAATCGACTCTGTGTTTATGTTCGACCGAAAAAGACTGCTAAGACTCATCTCCTTATTAGCTTCGGTACAAAGTATCTTCTTCTTTAATTAGTTTACCCGCGTTACACCGAGGCGCTCTCCGAGGAGGTACGTTCTTTGTTCCACCATCCGGCTAAAGGTGGAACTTTTATGAAATATTCTTTAATTATATTTTAATTATGTATGCAAGTTAACTATAAAACGGGCATTTAATTACCAGAACAAAATAAGTATATTCGTAGACGTAATCTGTGTACTATAGACGCGTCTGTCCTTCTGCGAGGACGATTCCAACACTTTGGCACCGAGATGTAAAACATATAGGCAGCCGTGATAGACGGGTGATTGATTAAGATATTCGTAGGGATTAAGCACAGGATGGACGTTCGCCATCAACTGCGGGAATGAAGATAAATACTACTAACTGGTCGGTCGTTTAATTATCCCAATCGTCACGCGGTGCACGGCACTATGCGGTATCCGTTCGTTTTAACATGAAACTCCGAAACGAAAGCTATGCTGTGACAGTTTTTGTCGCAGCCACCGCGTGTCACGCGGCGGACCGAGTGGATTAAGCGACCGCACTGCAGTGTGCCGGTAACGCGTTCCTGTCAGACAGTAATACTTAACAGCGTGCACGCTAACGTTTCCCGCGAGATATTACCCGAGGCCGACGGAAAAAGGAGTTATTATTCGTTGTGGCAAAACCGCAAACCGGACGCCGCTCGTGACCCGCATTAATAAAATCACGCCGGAAACTTGGAGAGAGATTTTTTACGAGCCCGGAAGAGCCATGCTAAACGAGTCTATCTGATTCTAATAATTAGAGTACGATTCTGCCGGACATATATTTTTCAAGATATCCAAAATACCGGAAAGTTACGAAAATACATATATGCATTTCTTTATTTATTTGTTACTATTATTATTATTATATATTGTCCTAAGTTTAGGACGGAAAGGCAATTTCTAAAATCTCGCGATATTCATATCTTCTTGCATTTACTTTTATTTTCACTCTTACTTCTTTATCCGCAAATATTTTCGAAAGACTAAAATTTAAATTAAAAAAGTTTTATCTCACATTCGATGAAGCTCGATCGCCATCGAATGTAATCGTGTCTTTCCGCTACTACGGCCGAACGAATAATTTACTGCCGAACTTTGCGATGAAATTGCGGTTCGGGTGTCAGGACTTCTTTTAACAGTCTAACGAAAGCCGAAGAATGCTCACCCGCGATGACGACGCGCGCGGTGTGGCTGATCTGGCCTTCCCCGTTCCTGGCGATGCAGGTGTAATCGCCGATGTCCTCGTTCTTGATCTTCGAGAGCCTGAGCTCGGTACCGTCGTTGAATATCCCAACGTCTCGACCATTGGGTTCGACAGGATTCGCGTCCTTGTACCACAGGATCTCTGGCGTCGGTGTGCCCTCAGCCTGGCAGTTCAGTATTATCGCATCGCCCAGATTCACGTATATCATATCATCTGGCGTCATGCTGAATCTGGGTGGCGCTGCAAACAATAGAAGCGAATTGGAGGACGATTAGATATGATTTAATGTAACTGCGTGTCATCGAGTTATAACTGTGATCTTAACTCTAAAGTGCACGATGCAGACTGACCGTCTCTATTTCGAATTGTTCGAGCGTGACTCGCGTATACTTGCGAACGCGATATCATCTCGCGCGCCCTTCGTTACAGATTATTTTTATGACTTCCAGCGACGCTTGCTTCCTCTCGCAAAATCTCGCGACAAATGTAAGCCGTTTATTTTTTCGCGAGTGAAGACGAGCGCGCTTGGCACTTGAACGACAGAAAATGGCCGCCGGGAAAGTGTTAGAAGAACAATCAAGCGCGCGAGGAGGAGGTGGACATTTAGAAAACGCTCCTCGAGAAGTTCCGTCGCGTTTTTATCGTTCCGTCCCGGAGAAATCACAATGGTTCTTCGCCGCCCATCGCTCGTCACCGGACGGTGACGTCGAGAGTCGTCCTTGTTCCAGGATGGTACAGTGCCATATCAGGAGGTCGACAATTCCGGAGTGCAAGGGAATGAAGAAGCAAGAGTTCGGAGGAAAACGAACGATTGAAGTAATACATATTCCATGTAGAATGGTTGAGAAAACGGCCCTTCGAGCGACATTCCCTTCGAACTACACGTTTCTTTCGCCAGGCGAAATTATTCCGTTGGTGAAATTTTAATTGCACGCGCGCGCGAGCGCAAGAGAAATCCGATTATTATGGTGGAGAAGCGGAAAGGGCTCAATTAAGTATTTCCGCGGTAGCTTCTCGCAGCGAGTTTCTTACAAATTATTGCTATTCCAGCTCTTGTTCCGTATTTCCGTAGACATCGTTCGCCGCGATGCGCCGTTCGCTCAAGCCGAAGACAGGAGATTTTAATTTCGAGAAAACGACGTTCCGCGGGAGATGCGGCAACGCGAGTGGAAGAGGAAGAAAAAGCGCGGAGTGACATACGAAAGCATACGACGGTTTATGACTCTAACGCGAGCAAGCGACCGAATGGAGTCGACTACAAAGTACAAAGGGACCTTAAACGCTTTTCAGTGCCTCGAGTATTTTTTCCTTTGACGCCGTTTGCGGGTCTATCGCCGTTGTCGCAGTCAACCCTCCTTGTTGTCGTTACTCTTGTTGCAGCCGAGCATGGCCGAAGGGCTCCAGCGAAGAACGGCGGAGAAATTGGGAATAAGCAGAGCGGGCTGTTGGGAAGAAAAAGAGGTGGATGAGGTGTGACGAGAGAAAAAGAAGATAACGCAACATCTTTCCTAAGCCATCTAAATGTTTCTCTTCCCTCCGGCCCTCCATTGTCGTTTATAGCGTAGCAAAACGCGGCAATAAGTTTCCCTCTCTTTCCTCCGTCACCTTCTCCCTCCTTTTTTCTCCCCCCTGTCCCATTTCCCGTCCGGTAACACGATCTTTTTGCGATCCTCCTTTCCATTTTACTCGCCGTAAGCAGAGACGAGGCGTTTCTCGGAAGATTTCGCCAAAACGATGAAGGGCACGACGAACTTTTCGAAGAAGACGTTCGAACTGCTCGCTGAGCAAGCAAGAAGCGGACTTCCTCTCCCGCGCGCGTTTACGAGAGAACAGCTAGAGAATGAGAGCACGCCGGGGCGTGGTTGCACAGTGTTTGCTGAATGTACAATTCGTGCAGAGTCGCGTCGAAGAATCAGCAGAGTCCTTTTGAAGCGCCTTTTATGATTCGCATGCTTTCCTTTCCCTGGATAGGAAGTCACGTCGACGAAACGCTTGGAGACGCCTGGGATGAAATGGAACGCGACGATAGAAAGGGGAATATTTTCGTATACCATACTTGCCGATGTTTAACCAAGCGCAAAAGCAGGATATTCCGGAATTTCATGAGTCCTCAGAAACATGCGAATGCATTCCTTTCCCGATTGCTACGTATATTCCGACGACGTCTATTTTGATTATTTATCATTTATCAGTGCGCACTTGTTCGCGAATATAAACACGAGCAAATTTCGAAAATATCTTCGATACTCGAGAAGCGTGCGATTAAGATTTACTTAGTAATAAATAAAGCGCATGAGATTTCTATAGAAATGAGCGATACCACGGTATTACGGTAAAATTACATTCTGCGTTCGCGGATCTCCGTTTCGCAAGAAATTTTGAAAATTGTAAATTTCTGGAACACTGTTCAAATATCGCCTTAAGTCACGTGGTTAACTTCCCAGAAGTGTTATAAAGCTACATTAGTCGAAGTCATAAAATCTCCTTAAGCTCAAAGTGATATTAACGAGACTATTCGAAGCAGAAATAATGTAATTTCATCTGATACGAGCCGCGTAAAAGCTGCTACTAAGAGTGTGCGCTTAGCGAGCATAACTTTTATTACTAGCGGACAACTTTACGTGAATACTAAATTAATAAAGAATAAAAAGTATTCTCTTCTTTCGCGACACATTCCGCAGCATGTTGTCCTCAAAGTTGTCGTCGTCCGTTTGTTTATTTCGCAGCGATGCGAACTTAAATGCGATGTCTAACATGAAGATCGGATTAACTCGCTTTATTAACTCTCGGAGCTACGCTACCGTGAATTGCATTCGTTTGCTTTGACAAGAAATGCATGAAATTTGAGATTACTTACCGTGGACGTCTAGGTGAAACCAGGTACCGTTCTTGTGACTGTTGGGCGACCTGTTGAGGAAGACGACCTTGCACTTGTACCATCCTTGATCGCTCTCCTGGATGTTCGTCAGATTGAGGCTAGCCTGGCCGTACGGCGAGTTCTCGCCCACTCTCGAGACACGACCCTCGTATCCTTCGCCGCTGTGGGTCGGATACGACTCGTACCATATGTATATCGGTGTCTCCTGCCCCTTGCACCAACACCAACACTCAACATAAACGAGGGATCGTAATAAACGCGTATAAGCTGGTGCGAGCGTTAGGTTCGATTTTGTGTCTGGATTTTCGCGCGGACTTTCTCGTAACGAATTGCCAGAAAAACACGAGAAAGATTTATCAGAGTTAATAACTTATCTCTCGTACCGTTTATTTTTGGAGATGTTCGAGACGCGTCTGCTCGAGACATCAAATATTCGACCGAGAAGAGAAAAAAAGATTATGTATGATGAAACTTTTATCTCTAAGAATCGAAAAAGCTTTTACCAACGATTTCATTACTTTTGCAAGGCGACCGAAATTAAGTTTTAATCCCGCTTAATACAGGGCTTCATAGAGACGCGCTCCATTATTCAGAGGCGCTCTCTCTCTCTCGCTGCGCGCGATCAAACCTCATTATTCACTCGCACCAGCCGTGAATCATGAGATGATAAATGATGAGACAAGGGATGCAGCGTGTCTGACGAGTGAAACGACCTACGGGCGTTATCCTCGCGCACGTCCGGGGGTCGCTTGTTTTCCGCGCGGGGATAGCAAGGCGTAACGAGAAACAAGATCGCGACGTCTCCACACGTTCGCGCGTCGAAAGGAGCGATGGCTCAGCACGCTCGTACGTGTGGATGACGTCGTAAGTCGGAAGAAAGCTGCACACATTCGATACATGCCGGATGCATTATTGTGCAGTCAACAGTACGGTAACGTCATGGCAAAATAGCTCGTGCATCACGTGCAAGAGTCGGACATGCCGCGCAGAAGCGGAAAATGTAGTCAAGTGACAATAGGAGATTTGAAGTGTCGAAATTTAACTTTGGAGAGCTGTTCGGCATTGTTAGTCGACAGTATCATTAATGCGATGTAACATAGCTCGTAGATTTGCGGTGCTTCCAAAAAACTATTTGCTATAAAAAGAGTGCAGAATTGTGCAGGAATGATTGTTCGGTAGTTTTGCAAGTGGGCGCACTCGATGCGCAACGAGATATACAAGGCGGATAGTGCAATTTGTGCTTTAAATTTTCAGGAGAGCTTAAAAGTGAATAAAGTCAATTGAGATATTGCAGCTTTCTATAATGACAGATTGTTAAATGTTTCAGTATATATGAATTGTGTATCGTTTGATTATTCATATCAGAATAATAATTATCGGCACTTCAAAGGATAAACATGCAAGGTATTCCGAATATATCGAGAAACTGTTACATGCGAATAAAGCGTTATTTGTTATATTTGAAGGCAGAAACATTGCCATGCAGAAAAAGAGAAATTAGTTAATAACACTAATAGCTTTAATGAACGTAGAATTTTTAAGTTTAGATTTTGCCCGATCCTTAATTCCACAATTTACCAACGGATCGGAGCGCTATCGTTTGTTTTTAGCGCTATGAGTTTTAGCGATCGCCTCGTCATAAAGAAAATGTACGAACGATATGATGAGCGCACGGGGTTAGTGTCGTTTTATATACGCCTCATTACGCCGCCATTGCGGAAAATTACGTCCTGTTAAGCCGGATGCTAAAACTACCGGTAAGCACGTATATCCGAGCGAGCCTGCGGAGCTAAAACGGCCCGTGTAAACGCCTGCATTAAAATCCGCTGCGTTATCGCCCGTATTAATGCATTTGCCTCAAGACATTTAACCCCTGCAACGATGCGCGGAAGATCCAGCGGGATAAAGTCGCCGTCGACATATGTACACGCCTACGGTATTTCACGCAGCAACGATTTAATTGATTCTCGAATCGCAACTTATATTTTCTATTTCGTTTTCCCCCCGTAATGTTTGCCGTACAGTAATCAAAAACAAGAATGCAACGGCGGGGCAAAATTCGTTATCGGATGATTCGAGCCGCGTTAATTGGATATTGCTATTCAGCGACGAAATCGTAGAGATAAAATTTCCGCGTCAGGGCTGTCTAAGGATATTGATCACTAACGAAGTTCCAGCAAACTGCGGCGCAAATTGATTAGATTGCGTCTCGTGATTGGCGCGTTGATTCGCAAAGGGTTTCTACGATAACGACGATCGTTTGCGGAGCACGTAAACCGCTGGGCGTAGAATGACGGCGAGATAGAATCGAAAGTCTGGTCCCGCATAAATCCCGCAGTCGTCGAAGGACGTTCGTTGATGCGGCGGAAAAGTCGTAGACCGTCGGCGTGTTTGGCGTGTGTAGGCGACGTGGCAATATTCCGCGCTTGGCAGACGGCATTTCTGCTGCTTCCCGCGCTCTCCTTCTCCCCCCTCTCCTCCCACTTCCGCCGAAAAACAAGGAAGGAGAGAGAGAGAGAGAGAGAAAACCGAGGAGACAAGAGTCGGTGCGGAAAAGTCGCGAACGTGTCGCGACAAATGTGTCTTACGTTGAGCATTGACTGCCCTAGTTGACGGTTTCTATTTCGAGCCGCTGGCCTACTTGCCGCGGCGCGACGACCACCGACGACCCCGACGGCGATGACGACGTGCAACCCCGTGATTTCAACATTATTCTCCCCGGGTGGCGCGTAGAGCGAACCCCGTTCGATATTGCGAAGCCGGCAGTTATTGTGCGTCTACAGCACCGACTGCCGCCGGCCGGAATACCGGTTTAGATTTACACGTTCTCGTGTAAACGTCCCGAAAAGACCGTCGGATCCGCTCGCACACGCTCCTCATTGTTGATTCTTCGCGGCGACGCGCTACGCGAGAATGGCCCTTGCGTCGAAGGAAAATCCGCCGCGTTACTTTTCTCTTCGGAGGACGCCGCTTTGAGTTGCCGAGCGTAACGCGAAATTCGTAATATCAATCGTACCTGCGCAACAAGTATACCTGTGACACGAAAGAAATCCGTAATGGATAAAATGAAAGCTTAACAAGATAAATTGGCAAATGTACGCGAGCTTATTCGCGGCGAAGAGAAAAGAGCAAAGGGACGGGCGGAAAGAGAGACCGGGAAAAGAGAGGGAACTCGGATTAACGGGCGCAGAGCGGGCCTTGATAAAGAACGGTAGAAGTGAAAGAGCGACGGCGGCGGGGCGGCGCGGTCCAAAAGGGGATCCATGAAACTGGAATAAATTACGGTACTGAATGGCAAGCCTCTCTCTCTCTGGAGGAGAGCGGGACCTATTTTCTCGCCCTTTTCTTAGCGCGGGCCGGATCGCGCGACACGACGACAGCCAAGCGAGGCACGAGGCGGCGAACGGTGGACGGGCGCGGTAAGGAGGGTTGGAAAAAAAAGGGATTTCTCCGACGGGGTGCGCACAGCCGGGCTGTCGTTGGGCGAGGCTTTTAGTGAATAAGTCGTTCCCTTTCGCGTGAGTGCCGGTGCGCGGCGTTTTACATGTATGCGCGCGACAGTCATGTGGGTCACTCGCCTTCGCTTTATTTTTCATTCCTGTGCTTTATTCATGTGACTCCGCCCGCTCGTTCTCTCCCGGCTAGATGCGCCGATGAAATTTAACACGGCCGGGCTCGCTACGTGTCCCGGACCGAAATTTTTGAATAATGAGATGTAACGTCGTATTTTTCGGTCATATTTTTATCCCGCGACAAACGCAGAACCGCTTTTGTAATATGAAAGAGAGAAATTGCAAAGAGGAGCGGGATATTTTGCAGATTGCAATATTAACATTTAAAGTACTACAACAGATTTATACACTTTTAATGATAGAAAAAAAATTTTATTTTAATCAGGATCCTTCGAGATTAAAATCAAGTAAGCGAAGCGTACAACGAGAGTATCGATAAGCTAATATTATTTATCTGGCCGATAAAGCCACTTTATTGAAAATGGAACGAATATAATGTTTCGATAAACTGCAAACGCGGTTGTAACGTTGTTTGTCTCATTTTTCCCGCATCATAAACATTCCACGTCCGTTTTTAGCTCTCATCAAAGTATTTCGTCCAACAAAAAGCCTGCAACTAGTTTTTCCGAAATATTTTTTTTTTTACATGGTTCGGTAATAGACCCATTTGCGCCGTACAACGCAGCGTATTGTTTGTCGAAAACAGAAATTATTTCTTTACAACGAGCAGATAAATCAATTAAATCGGTGAAAGCTGCTTTTCAAAATGCCGTAATCAAAAATTTAGTCGGCGGAAGCAACCAGCGGGAAAATTGGACTCAATAATTCAGGAAGTAACGCTGCGACATAATGGCGCATAATGGCGGACAAATAAAACAGTTTCGCGGCAAGTGGGCGAGGAGGATCGCGCGGGGGATTGAGAGCACCCTCGTTCTTTATGCGTACCACGACACTATCGCTTGGGTTGTCGGGTGCTTGGCTGCGGAACTTATTGCGGAAATTTTGATAATTCATCCCCCGAGCGACATCGAGCGAGGCTGGGCGCGCTATAACCGGCGGGCAGGGTTGATATTTAAGGTGGCGGCCGGTATCCTCCGGAGATCGAGCTCCGGAGTCGGAGCTAGCCGAACGGGTTAAATGTTAACGAAGCAGCTGGTTCTCGAAACGGTGCCTGCAACACTGACGCGCGGAGCCCGCTCGAAACAGTTTGATTGGGATTGCTTTGATAATTCAATTTGCTCCCTTTAGAAAATAGTATGCGCGCACGTTGACATTTTCAATATTAGATTTTATTGATAATACTACTGTTATTATGCAGAAATATATTACGGCCTGGTTGATACGAGGATTAACATAAGCTCTGGATACATTTATATTCAATTGCATTATTAATATATGCAATGTTATTATATTACAAACTATGGTATTGCGGTTATACCCTTATATTGCAATTTCAGTGACGCTAATTATTATGCAACGTATCGACGTACCGACTTAAGCCGCCGCATGAAAATTCATGAGCGCTTGCAGATTATACTTGAAATATTCGATTCGATTTTCGTAGAATCGAACGTATCATTTCTATTTTAGCGAGTTACTATCGACTAATAATAGTTCAACTAAAGCCACGATCTAATCGCGAATTCTACTTCGTCTTTTGCAGCAGTTAATGAATATTTCAGGGGACCACTAA